ACTAAGGTCAGCTGCCTGGGTACCACACACTGATAAGCAAATGCGTTTCTGAGGAGCAGGCGGCTGTGTATTTTGTCATGGTCTACGAACACTCTGCAAGTCCTAGGTGTTTCGGACAGTATACTACAAAGCGGTTGGCAATTTGGTGATATGATCATAGTACGTGATGCAAGGTTTATCACAACTATGCACAATTTATCACAGTTTCTACATCTATGTCACGTATCTAAATATCACCACTTACACTGTATTTTTGTTGATACTATCTTGACTGAGACAAAAAGATAAACCAAATCCTTCTCCACTGATCCCTCTCCCTTACATTCTGCGTCAGGAAAGGAAAATCAGAAACCATTCACTCAAATCCTAGCTTAGGCAAACTGTTTGAACTCCGTAATCTTACTAAAACTTCTGTGATCATGTAATGGAGAACAAACTCATTTTTGTAACTGGCCTGAAACTCTGTTTCATCAGTAATGAAGATCTGAGATCCACTGACTCTTGATCAGATATGAGACAGACTCCTGAAAAAGCAACACGTAGGCATCTTTCTGTTATTCCTATCATCACACAGGTGAACAAAAAGATCGAAAGAGTCTGCTCTTGCAGTACTATTGCAACCAGCCAAAATGCTTAAAAGATTCGCCTCACCGTCTACAAATACTGAAAATTATGTTAGTGAGTTATAATTATTTCTTTCTTCCTATGGTTCCGAGTTTACATTGTACACAAGCCAAAAAACCCTTTAATAATACTGTCTAATGACTGTCTCCAGTGTAAAAAACTTTAAATATTTTCAGCTTTCTGGCTGTAATAAAGATACTCTGGAAATTTTAACATTTAGACAATGAGAACAGAGCAGGTATAATTAAAAAGTAATAACGGAGTGATACCTCTATCCAACATTTATCATAATAAGCATTTTGGGAGAACAGTAAGCCCAAATAATATTTCAGAATAGCTAAATTTTAAGGAATGAAAATACTATAATATGAAGTTATAGCCAAAAATATTGTATTTTTAACCAGCAACTCTTTTGAGGGGCCGTAACTGTACAGTATTAGTTTTTTTCAAAAAAACCCCTATTTCTGTCCCTCAAGCAATTCATGCATTTAAATGACACTTCAAGAACAGCAAATATGATCTTTATTTTTAAATACTGCAAGTTTAAAAATGTATCTGAACCGCCCCCTCAAAAAAAAAAAAGGTCAAATATGCCTGCAACATGGTAAATGAGGAATCCACCAAGAGACTTTAGCTTAGACTGCGTTTTGAGAGAAAAAAAAAATAAAACAACCAACAAACCAAAAGATTTACAGTAAGATTGATGTGGCTGACTAGATTTTTCCCCATTACCATCAGAATCTCCCTCTAATTCTTTCTTTCCTGCAGCATGGCTACCATGAAGTGAAACTTACATTAAATCCCTTTCAGTAGCTACATAGTAAACCTCAATGTTATTGTTGAGTTTTAAAAAATGTTTCTGGTTTGATTGATAAAACTCAAAATTATATACAGAACCAAAAATGAGGGAGTATCAGCAGCTCCTCTACTCAAACTAAACGTATGGTTTTGGAAGATTTCTACTAAGCTAACAACCCAAACAGGGACAGGTGGCTTCAGTTGTTTAATGCATAGTAAATTTCAGAAATTATGGTTTATGTCAAAAGAGGGACCATATTTACAAAATAGTGAATTTCTAAAATACTGTTGTTAATTACCTACATCAGGACATTTTAATTTCCTAACTTTGGATGGTCTCTCCAAAACATATCTACTTTACTGGTCTCTTAGCTAGAGGTAGGTCATTTGTAGGCCGCCTTGTTAACATGCTGTGCATATTAACATTAATTCACTAATGTAATAGTGGATAGCAGGATAACCATGCACAGAGTTCCAAGAACAGCAGCACATATAATAAATTAATTTGGTAGATTTTATTTTTTCATGTGGGTTAACATGTCTTTGTTTTCTCCTAGTATTTTATTCTTTTGTGAAGAATGTGTAACAAGAAAAGGGTGATGTGGTTGAGTAATCTGAAAGTCTCTGCACTTCACAACCAAAAGCTGGGAGTCTAGCAATGTCTTTATATGCAGCCCTTTTCTCCCCATTAAGAGTTTTTGCAAATCATGCAGTCAATTCTGACTGATATCTAGCATAAAAAGTCTCTTTTCCACTTTCAAACTTAAAAAAGTGATTTACAATCATGTGGCAGTATGATTAAAAATTACAGTTCATTTACCTTGACAATCAAGAGTCTGAATTATAAAAAGTAAACTGGCCATTATCCTGTATAAGTAAGGACAGTGCCAGTTAATTTGTGAAAAAGGCAAGTTTTAAGATTTCTGTAAAACACGTATTACAGCTTTCTTGTGCTAGTGAACATCTAGAATACACAGGTTCCCAAGACTTTTTCCTTCCCTCCTCCCCCATTTATGACATTCACATAAATCGCATAATTTTGGCAAAGTTAAAAGGCTCTCTGACTTGATGGTTTTACCTTAAGCTTCACGTTAGAGGCACAAACTTCAGGACTCAAGCACTATAAGGCATAGTAGAAACCACCAATTGAAACAACAGCAACAATACCACCACCACCACAACAGAATAGACTGCAAGTGGGAACAGCTGTGTCATTTTAAGAGGAAATGTTTTTGTAAACTCTCACACTGCAATGGTGTGTTAGGTGATTCATGTAAAGCTTGCCTTCACATGCCAATCTTTTTTTCCCCCCAGAACATGCTCAAATGATCTAAGCACTGCCACAGGTTCAACTTACCTAAAATATAGCAGAAGTAGCCCAGTGGCACACACTCTTGAAAACTTTTGCAATCACAATATAACTATAAAGCATAAGTAAACTTTTGTTTTGTTTTTAAGACAAAATTCAGGACCACATTTCCTTTTCCCCCACCCAATATCCCGTAACAAAACTAATAATAAAAAACCTAAACAAACCCAAATCTTTGTTAGACACCACTGTCTTTTTTTTTTTTCCTCGCTAAAGTTCAATTTATAGCACTGAATCCAGCGTGGGCAACATATTCCCTGGTTAAAAGAAGGAATATTATCAACAGTGGAACTGTGAAAACAGCAGCTCTGTTGCACTTAAAGCAAGATCAGGACCAATTTTGTAATGCTGTGTGTAAGAGTCACTGCTCTGATCCCCTGTTAAGAATGTCAGTGTCACTTTTTGTAACCTAGATCTACCTGCTTTAGCTTTATTAAATAAAATGTTTTAATACCTTAAAATTGTTAACAGTAATGACTTCTTGGTTGCTGTTGTTATATCTAAGGTTTCTGAAGTTTCCAAAGGACTGTTTGAGCTGATGTTCCATATTATTTGTGGTATTTTTAGGGCAAGAGCATATATCCAACTAGTACTTATGTACAATCGTTTGAAATATCTGTAAATTTACTCTTCTAATAAATCCTATTAGAAAAGTAAAAGTAGCCTAATGTGAATCTGTGAAATATAAACTAAATTTATTTTTTAAAGCTTATGTTCCAATCCTAGATATAATGGAATCACCTCTTCTACTAAGACTGGTTTCTACACCTGTAAAAACTCCTGATTAGATTTAAACATTGTTTTGAATGTGAATGACCTCTGAGTGTCTCCAATTCACTTCTACTCAAGAATGTGCAAGTGATTTTATACAGCACGATGCTAGTACCGCTCTGTACTATAGTAAATTTTTTGTTTTGTAAATAAAAAACAACAAATCCCTAGTCAGAAATAAACTGACAAAATTTACATTCTTCTCTCTTAAAAAAGTAAATAAAATAACATTATTTAAAATGTGAATTAGCTATAAGACATACAATACAATTACATAGATACATATCAATACAGCACATTCAATTTGCCAAAAATTAATGATTACAAAGCCAGTATGGATGCTGCCATATATATATATATAGATGTATGTACAATGGTTATAGCATTCATAATTGCATTATACCTACAACCAGTTTTAAATTACAAGGTGTTTTAAGAGGGAGCAAAAAATAGCAACTGTTCTTATTATTGTTGTTTTGGAGTTGGGAGGCTTAAGGATGAAAACCGTCTCATTAATACCTATTGTTAACTTTGGTAATCAACTAATAAGCCTTTTTTTTTTCCACCTCCCATCTGCCACTATGAGGGAGCAATTTCTGTGTTAAGTGCACTCCAGTGCTACTTCGCATTGCAGATAATAATCCAAATACATGTCTGAACTCTGAATCTTCCGTAGCTTGCTACCAATCATGCACCTGGTCAAAAAACACCTTTCAACCTACGCTGCAGAAGAGAGGCTCATCAATGCGTGCTGCATTTCTGTTGTTAAAAAATTGCACATTTAAATTTTAAGAATTATTTTCTCACTTTCATATACATTAATAAACCTTTTCTAGAGAACATTGAGAGAGGCTATTTTGCATGAAAGCCTATCCAATGTCTGTGAATCAGTTTGTTAACAACCAACTTCTCAAGAAAGGTTCCTCAATGGGATCTCTCATCAATAGTTTCTCATTATACAACTACAGGTGCCTTGATACTATTACAGAAAACAATCTTATGCCGTATCTGACATAAGGAGAGATTTAAACTGTCTTTAAATTAGTAGACCACATGCATATGCATGGGGCACCTCAGCATATTCACTCACACTGGTGGTTTTGGCATTAGAAAATGGAACACTTTCTAAAAAAGGGAACATATGAGCTGAAACTGTTTATCATTTGGCAGTCGACTCAATCAGGTCAGTTCCCAACCCATCAGTTTGGCATTTCAATCAGTATCTTATGTTTCAAGAGCATTGGTTTTATAAAAAGCCAGTTTTGGCAACGTTAATTTTATACAATAAAAATAATTTTTCTACTGTGGAAAAAGAACACTTAAAAAAGATCTAACTTAATAAAAAAACCCCACACAACTGAAAAAAATC